GATTGACTGTCACTTCATTCAAAAACTTTTTATGCATGGAACTGTGCAACTTATTTCAGTATTCTCTACGCATCAAACAGCGGAAGCCCTCACGAAGTCTCTCTGCTTTTTTTTACTTCTTAGCAAACTCAAATTGATCTTCAATATACCACCTTGATTTTGGTTAGTTGTACACATGCCTTGATTTTTTCCTTTCCCACCTTGATTTTTTCCTTGTACACATGAACGTAATCATCTTCTTACTCGTATTGAATCAGCTGAAAGAACACAAAAAATTTCTCAATTTCTCTCTGCAAATGTCGACGAATTCTTAAGCTCTACGACATTTCTTTTTGTTTTTCCCCTTTTACCCATTTTCATACATCAAGAAGCATAAATAGACAAAACTAAAGCAAAAAACATTTGACCTGTTGAGAGTTGAGAAGCCAACAAACAACCTGTATTACAACACAACACCGGTAGCTTCTTTTGAAAAGCACCCGTAAGATGAACAAAACTCATCCCTAAATCACACAAGCCAAGCCAAGCCAAGCCATCTTAAATAAAATAAAAAATTAATAATTAAAGGAGTCTTAGAAGGGAGTGACACTCCCGCTCCTGGTGTCTGCAGGGCTATACAGAGCGGACCTATTCCTTGGCCTGTTCTCCTCAAGCTGGCGCACGACTTCCTCCATGGTGGGCCTGACGGGTCCGACAGGCGCACAACAGCCCATGGCCAGCTTCAGGGCCTGCACCAGCCCCTCCTCCATCGGATTCCTCACCCCTTTCAGAATCTCTACGTCAAAGACCTCCATCGTGGTCTCCTCCAAAACAGCCGCCTTCACCAGGGATGGTAGCTCCGAGCCCCCGCCACGTGGTCTCCGGCCCAACAGGATCTCAAGGAGGACGATCCCAAACGCGTACACGTCCGTCCTAGGCCCGCACTTTGCCATTCTCTGCAGCTCGGGAGCCCGGTACCCATCTGCCTTGGCCTGCACCACAATATCGTCCGCCACTGACGAGACCATCATCTTGTCCAGCCCAAACTCGTTGAGACGGGCCACAAAGAAGTCGTCCACCAGAACCGTCTTGGACCGCACGTTGCCGTGGGTGATGGGAGGGTCGAGCCCATGGAGGTGGGCCAGGCCTCGGGCTATACCCAATGCAATCTTGTGCCGTCGGGCCCAGTTCAGGACCGGTTTTCCCACTCTTGATTCTGGGATAGAATTTAAATAGATTTTAATAATTTCAGATGCCAACGTCTACAACTAATTCTGCATAATTTAATCAGAATCTTAGAGGAGGGAATGAGTGCTTTAGAATCAAATGAACTACAATTCCGTTGGCCAGGATAAAGTCAGTTTGACTTTTATCCAAACATTCTCCAAGTTGTTCAAGCTAAGTATTAATCAAGAATATTCCAACTTATGCACAATCCAAAAGCTAGTTCTGACTTCAAATCTTTCAAGGTCTAAATTCCTTGGAAACTAATCTCCATGAAAGTTCTTGCAAAGGTAAAATTAGCACCCCATATGCAAAGTCATCTGTAGTTTGTCTATTTTTAGCCAAAACTAATGAAGAAAACATAATAACAAACCATGAACCATAAGACTCACCATGCAATAGCTCGTAAAGTGTCTTGTTCGACATGTAATCGTAAATCAAAAGCTTCTCCCCTCTCCTCCCCTGATAGAAAGCCCTAAGAGGAATCAAATTCTCGTGCCTTATGCGTCCCAACTGCTTAATCACAGGCAAACACGACGCCCTATCCTTACAAGTCCCCTCTCTTAACAGCCTCAAAGCAATAGTCCCCCCATCGGCGAGCTTCGCCTTGTAAACCGTCCCATAACTCGTTTTCTCCATAACTTGACCAGTGGCATTCAAAACATCCTCGGTCGTCAAGTGCTCACCGCCTTGAAACAAAACCAACTTCCCATCACCACCATTACTTTTCTTACCGGCTTCTTCATCCTCGACTTCCTCAAACTCATTGTCCTCGTCAAATTCATCGTCGTGGAGTTTCTTTTTCCTCTTCCCTTGGAAATAACCAATCAAAAGTGAGACCAACACGACTGCACCCGTCATCATGCCAATGACGAGCCCAGCCACAGCACCGGGGCTCAATCCCGACCGCAAGTTGCAGTCCCTCAAAGGGGGACCGCATAGGGCCGGGCTGTTTCCTTCAAACGCGTCCATACCGAATTTCGACCCACCAAAACTAGGCAGAACCCCAGTGAAGTTATTATGCGAAAGATTCAATTTTTCGAGCTTCAGCCCGGTTATGGCGTCTGGAATCGAACCAGACAACATGTTATCCCCAAGATCGAGCTGCTGGAGCCCGTGAAACCCGAGGATGAACTCGGGGAAATTACCGGTGAACAAATTCTGTCCTAAATCCAGTGACTTCAAGTTCTTGCAAGAGGTAACCTGAGGCAGGGCAGGGTCGGGAACCGTACCGGAGAGGGAGTTGCCGTGTAACTGGAGAGATACCAGTCCGGCGCCACAGAGGTTCCAGATTGAAGCTGGCAAGGGCCCTCTGAGCTGATTATGGCTCAAATCGATGTCCGATAACGATGAACTGTAGCCGAGCTCCAAGGGGATGGGACCAGACAAGGCGTTCACGCCGAGGTACAGGCTCTGCAAATTGGCGAGCTGCCCGATTTCTTTTGGGATTATTCCGGTGAGATTGGCGGAGGGGAGCTGGAGAGAAACAAGCTGTAGATAGGGGCTTCTGTGTAAATAAATGTTTGTCCACTGGGGGGAGGTGGGGCCGTCGCAGGGAGGCGGAGACGAGGCATTTTCTCCGGCGAGGGCCCATTTGAGGCCGCGCCACTGGCAGAGGGGGATGGAGGTGTTCCATGAGGAGAGGAGTAGGTTCTCTGCGGTTCCCTGCAGTGAGGGCTTGATTTTCTGGAGGAGAAGGTCGACGTCTGAGGCGGAGTGGGTTAGAGAGAGAAGGAGGGAAATGCAGAGGGGGAGGAGCTTCAGGGCCGCCATGGATGAATTGAGGAGACGAAGGAAGGAAAGGACAGTGGAACTGAGCCCCAAAAGAAAAGAAGAAGAAGAAAAAAAAATTAAAACTGATTTTGAAATGAGGAAAAAGAATAAAAGTTTATTGGGAAAAGCTGACTGTGTGTTGACTGCGTATGAGTGGTTATGGCCCCCATCGAAATGTGTCCCGTTACATAATCATTTCGTCGCGATTTGTAAAGGGACCATCAAATATTCTGTCGTTAATAGTCGATCTAACGGTTACAAATCTAATATAATAATTTCGGTAACGAGACTTAACATTTCCCTATTTTTTTTAAGTAGCAAAAGGGAAAAAGGAAAAGTTTGGTGGTGTTAAATTATTTAGTATGTTTTGGGGTTTAATGATGTTGGTGAGCACCGAGTGACAGACGGGCCTGTGCTTTATTATTATTACCTTTGTTTGCTCCAACTTTTTGCACATATGGCGCCTGCATTCATACTTCATTCTTTATTCTCTCTCTTTTTTTTTAAGCATTTTCATAATCAGATTAAGATGTTTTTATGTTTGAGGACAGAATGATAAAAAGGAATTTTCTGTCATACTTTTCGTAAAGGCGCTCCACCAATGTCCTCCCGGGCAATTTCACGGCTATACGGATCACCTTCTAAATAATAAACTGACAATAGTAGTGTGCTTGATTATATCTCGACTTACATTTTTAGTGAAGTTGTCAATTTCACTAGGTTGATTTTTGGTAATTATTAGTAATTTAGTATTATCCGAAAATTAGTTGTTAGTTTTATACTCTGTGTGTGAGATTGTAAGGAGTTGGACCAAAACAAATTTGGTTGATACAAACATTCAGTTAGTCATAGACACAGTATATATCGAATTTTTCGAAAACATTGTTTAAATATCAATTAAAGGAAAAAAAAGAGGCGTTTCGAAAATTGCATCAATTTGTTGTCGTTGTCGTTTTCGTTGTCACAATCCAAATTATATTTATACACCATACATATATGTGATTTTAGATTTGATATGACATTGCTTGACAACATAGGCACATTTTTTTTTTTTTTAAATGCTAACATAACAACTTCATTACTCTGAAGAAAAGTACAATCGAACTACCAACTGATTATTTGGAGAACAACAAAGAAAAATGGAGAAGACTCTACTCGAGGAGATCCACGAGAACCCCTCAACCGCAAACATAGCAGCTACCAGAACACAAACTAAACTGAACAAGCTAGAGAGAGACCGAAACGGGCTGGTTATGTGGGCTCTTGAACTCCTTTTACATCTTTGGGCCTGAATTGACTTGCCCAATTTGAAGATATTTACACTCAGGTATGGTGGCCGGCGAGCCCAAAATACAGATGTACAACATCACTCAAAAAAAATAAAAATAAAAGAATAAAAAAATAAAAAATTAAAAAATATGGATTATGAAAATAAGCAGAATATAATAGTAATAAAAATGCTTGATGGAGTTGAGGTATCTCACGTGACGCGGCCTTAAAATTTGAAATTATCGACTGTCGAGCTGCGTTAAGTATAAATATTTTAGACTCAAGAACTCAATGTTAAGTTCAGCTGCATCCAAATGAATAATAATATTAATAATAATAATAATAATAATAATAATAATAATAATAATAATAATAATAATAATAATAATAATAATAATAATAATAATAATAAATGTATGATATAGAAGAACTTTGACAAAATTGTTAAAACATTTTTTTTTTTATATTTATTGAAAGATATTGACAACTATACTATAAATTTATTGGTATTATTATTTCAGGATGAGTATCCTATATGCAAAAATGGTGCGAGAGAGGTATTTTTTTATTTATTATTAATTAAAGGTCGGGGGAATGTTGAGGAGGAATTATTATTTTAAGTAATTGTGAGATTTTATGAATGGAACTATATATCAATAAGAAATGAATGAGATGTACCATATGATATAAAATCTTTTAAACTTCAATCTAAGATTCTAAGTTTCTAAAAACTTAACCAGTCATCAATTCAATGGTTTATTAGTCAGACCAGTGGTCGAACCGTTTAATTATTATATAAATTTTTGTTTATTTTATATGTATTGTATGTAATTGTATATATTTTATCATCCTCCCTATATATAATTCCCGAATGCGCTGAGCCTACGTGGCTGTTTCTGGTGTTTCAGAATCTTACTTGGCGAGTGGTTTGGACAAATAATATTGATATATTAATAATTAATAATTTAGGTTCGGACATTCCATAAATATTATTTAGCTAACTTAGGTATTTTAATATCACTTTTACTAATATAACCCTTTAATTCTTGGTAATTTTATATAGTGAGACACTAAGTGACTAATATATCCCTGACTTTTGATTTGTTTCCTTCAATTAGCTATTGAATTGTAAATTTATTTTAAAAGTTGATAACTTTTGTATTTCATATTGGTTTTACATGTATGATATATCAAATTAATCTTCTTTTGATGATCTTCGATTTGACATCCATATTGTATATATGAAATAAATAAATTATATTTATATTTATAATAATAAATAATAATAATATTTATTAAAAATCATTAGAAAAATAAAATTATTTATCAATTGATATATTTATGTTTAATGTAATTATATGTTGTAAGTTAAAAAAATATTATTATAATATAACACAGGTAAGTCGCACAAATAAAAAATTGTAATATTAAATATATATATTTTTATAAAAGATATTGAAATTTTCAATTAATTTTTCTCATTAATTTTATATTATAAGAAAAAATTAGCAAACACCTGTGTAATACACGGAAGTTGTACTAGTTAATTTTATAGTTTATAATTATAGTACTCTAAATAAGAGTCCAATAATCAATACCCTATT